ATTAATTTTATTCCTTTTGGAAGTGAAACACATATTTGGGTTTTTTAAGGTATTCCAACTGGATCACATTGACAGGATGCTACGAAAAAAAAAATGCATAGGTTGGAAGAACTTGGAAATACAAAAAAAGGTTATAACTACAGAATGAGTCTAAAGACAACAACATGAGGGTCAAGGACATGGATGAACAAGTCAACCTTGAATAAAAAAGAAGTATTCAGTCTACTGAGAACGAAAGACCATGAGAGGGTGGGCAGGGAAAGTTGAAAAGCACCGGAAAAGACATATTCATTTTCCTGAATAAAATAGACAGTGAAATCATCTGTTGAGACGTGTGGATTTAAGAGGAGACCTAGGAGGTCTGGAATTACCCCTGAAAGAAACAGGATCTGGGCTACTCAAACTCAAGATAAAGCCTGACAGGTGACCATTCACTAGGGAACATGATATTTTAAAACCCTCAAGGAATTATTTTTCACAAGGTAATTTCTTTCTTAATTTGGTTTATGAGTTCAAATTTTACACAGCAGTGATTTAAAGGGTAAGGCAGTGCTTATTTTCCTACAAGAGCTAGCTTCTAATTGAGGTCAAGTCCACAGTGACACTAAGATAAAGGAAAATTGTAAAATAATTATACTTATATAATTTTTGCTTGTATTTCTGTAGTATTTGTATAAAATGCTGCTTGTATTATCCCAAGCAGAATTTTTTAACCTTAAAAGAAACGTGCCTGATAGGTATTACATCTTTTGTTGTGTAGACAAAAAAAAATAAAGTTGAGTATCAGAGAGGAGAAAAATGACACGTCCAATGTTTTACAGAAGGTAGAAATGTCAATATTCAATCCCAAGTGTTTTGCTTGCTAAAACAGGACTTTTCCACTATATCATATATTTGTTTTAAATGCATATCAAAGATAACTGAAATTTAATCCAGGTTTGTTTTGTATTTAAGAAACATAAATAAGATTGTCCTGAATCTACTGAGAAAAAGACTATATTCATCAAGAAAAAAGTCAACTTAAAGAGTTCTATTAATTTTATCCAAAACTGGTTTTATACAAGGTACCAATAAATTTCCTAACTTAAGAATTTGTCAATCTTTATTAAAAATATTTTAGGCACACAATCTAAACTTTAAAATGGTCCCTTGGAGAATTTAAATGTGGTGAAGTCACTACAAGTGATTATTTGTGATAAGTATTAACCTCTGCTCTGTCATGTTTTAAAGGGCTCAGACATCTACAAAAATGAAGATCTATCCTGGATATCATGAAAATTTACAAACAGTGCCCTGGGTGTTTAAAAAAAATTTTTTTGAAGTGCTGGAATATTTGGCAATATTTGATTTCATCATACCATGTGTTAACCAAAACTCTTAGCAGTATACAAATGTTTGAAAAGAATCTAAGGTAGGAGACAAGCACAGTGGCACAATTCTATATTGAGTGTGAAGGCTGATGCAGGATGATCGCAAGTTCCAGGGCAGCCTTGGAAACTTAGGGCAACCCTGTCCCAAAACTAAAAAATAAAAAGAGCCATGGATATAGCTCAGTAGTGGAGCACCCCGTTCAATCCCCAGTACCAAAAAAAAAAAAAAAAAATAGCAAAGGAATTCAGACTAGGAAGTCTTAGAAATTAATAATGCTCCTAGAATTACTGTAACTAAATCTACAAATTTGAACTGATCTATGTCTATCAGCAGTGATGACTTACTGCAAATAAGAATATTTTCATACACATACATTTTTGGACCCAAGACTTGATAATAGTTCAATAGACTTAAGAATATAAATGTATGCAGTACCCAAAATAATGTATATGTCTCAAATTACATTATAGTGTGATGAATGAATTATTAATTATCAAACTAGGAACAAATGAAAAAAGTTTCAAGAATATGCAGACATTAATTTTTATGTTCTGAATATACAAAACCCCTCCTGTACATCAGCAGTAATCTGGAACTTAATTAGAATTGCAAAAAAATGTACAGATCATGTAGTCCAACTCCTTAATTTGAGAGACAAGGACACTGGACCCAGGGAAGGGAAGCTTACCAAGATTCAGTTTAGGGAAAAGTGGAATTAAAATCCAGGTATCTGGATTCAGAGTTTAATGCATTTCCCAGAAGTAGCATAGATATAAATAACCTCATGTAATTTCATCTGGCAAGCAAATTCAGAAGTGCAGTAGAACTTAAGAATCATGCTGAGTTCACTGTTTTATCATATGCAAAAACACCTTCTATAATAAATGGATAACTAAATAACATTATAATTACAGGAGGAAAATTATTTTAACTAATCAAACACTTTGAAAACACTCTCTAAAGCACATTCTTCAAGATCTCTTCTAAGTAACAATCAAATACATAAAATGTTGAGGTTTTTTTTTCCAGCAGTGTTCTCAAAATCACCTCTACTGAAATCTTAACACAAACAAGTAAAATAAAACAAAATACAACAAAATAACCAAGAAACTAGTACTTTTAACCTCATGGCCTTCAATTCTAAATGAAGCAGTCCCAAAGGAGCACTGATTTGCATCTATCTCCAATCAAAAAGCAAAATAAAATCACTGTGGAAACTCATTGGTTTATATCACACTGCCCTTATATGTATTAGCTGCTGGAAAATCATTCGAAAGAACTGAATCATCTGGATCATTTTTATTACTCACTCAGTCTTGAGACTGTCTGCACAGTACTGAAATGTACTTCAGTGTGCACCTTTCTTCCAAATGAATATCTATGTCAGGTTTATTTATAGCCACTGCCTTCAATCAGTGCATTTCCAAGTATGAGAAATAAAATAATCTCAACAATCTTCTATAGAGACCTGAAACAAAACCTAGAAATCTTGGCAAACTGCCTTTGAAAATATAATGAAAAGTCTATAACATAAAATATACACTAAGATTCACTGAGATTCCAAAGAACACTCACCTTATATTCTTTAATAAACACATAAAGTTCCCCAGGTACAATTAGAGAAGAAATTTAAACCTTAAGCATCCTTTAGCATAACTTTTTATGTACTATAAGATTATAATCATCATCTCCTTCATTCTCTTTTCCTTATTATGATTTCTCTGAAATTTGGGCACCTTCTTTGTTTCTTACTTAGATGCTTTTCTGTTTAAGAGCTTGCCTCCTAATTCTTTACAAAAGCAGGACATGCTTCCCCCTGCTGGGAAAAAATTAAATTACAGGGTACATCAGAATGGTCCTAAGTATGAAGAAATCAAGTTCGGTAGAAAAGATAAAATGCTAAAAGAGCCAGGTGCACAGTCTTCTCTACAGTTTTACCAGTTGCAGAAATAAATATGTCCTCCACTCTCTGAAGAGTTTCTCTTACGCATCTTGTTAATTTGGCAGTTTTCAGGTACAAAAACTCCCATTAATGACTGATGAATCAGTCATTGAGTCAGCTGTCCCAAAGCAATCTCCAATTAGCAGCTAATGAAAATTATCAATTTGTAACTTTTTTTTGCACTTTAAAGACATTATATGCTAAATGAAGTCACTATAAAATAGTGAAGTAAACTGAGACAGCTGAGTTGCATTTTTAATCATTTTAAACAACTGTAAGCCTTCATTAACTCATGTTTCAGTATTCCTATTATTTTTATGTAGCTGTCTTTAAAAAGGAGACATAGAGTTTAGTTTTTTAATTGATTTTACTTTCCACTTTAATTCCTATGCTTTTATATTCAGTAATCAAGAAAGTAACGAGCATAATTGCATTCTACTCTCAATCACTTTACAAAACCAGCCCTATCCTTGAAAACAGTTCAGCTACTTCACATGTTCCATATTCTGATATAATTTTTTCCTATTTAGCATGCAAACATTTTGCTGTTAGTATAAATAACATCCATCAGTAAAATATAAAAATAAAGCCAATGTCTTATATGTGGAGAATAATTTTCCTTCCATGTACAACTAAGACTCAAAAAAAAAATATATTAATGCTGAGAAGCTGGAGTAAAGGAAGTTGTCACTTTTAGTTTTGTGGTAGGTAAGTCCATAACAACCCAAGCTACAAAACACACTGAAGCCAATTTGATGATGAACCAATTCATTATTAATGAAGCATTCATCCCCCAAAATCTGCAATTGTTTTAAAAAAGGCATGTGTAGATTACTACAGATATAGGCAGTGTCTTTAATAGTTACAGGTCATTATTTCAGTATAAATTGAGTAATTTGGGATAATATTTGTTATACAGAAGTTTGTGTGTGTGTGTGTGTGTGTGTGTGTAAGCGCGTGCACCTTTTTTAAAAGAAAACCTTTCAAAGCAAAGCAAAAGGCAATACATATATGTTCCTCTGGGAATGGAATCTCCTTCAACATTACAGGTACACAAAAGAAAATGCACACTTGGTAGAACAGTTGATCAATTATGGAGTGTTCCCAGGGGCCAATATCTGGCAGAGTACCCAATCATCACACTTCAAATAAATTTATAAGCACTTTAGTCTCTGCTTACCACCTTCACATAAATACACGATCATGGATAGTTTAATCTTGATTAATTCTATGACTTTCCATAGAAAAGACTTTGATTAAAGGGTATCAAAAGCACTTCCCAAATGCAGCAGGGGTGGGGAGTGGGGGGAGCGGGAAACTGATTGGTAGCTAAGAAGCTCTTAGAACACTACATTGATCACTATTTACTTCCAAACTGATTTCCCTTCCTTCCCTAAGCGAAGTAGACCGTGTTACACTTTATGCTTTTCCCCTCCCTTGGTCAATGAGCCTTACAGGTCACATAATCTTGTAGCTTTGGTCTTCCCCAAATTAAGACATAGAGAAGGAGCACTGCTGCCCTCCCCAAGAACAGGTTCCGTCCTCCTGAGCTCTGAAGCGAGCATCTTCAGGGAGGACACTTTCTGCGAAGGCTAAGAAAGGCGTCCCTCCCCAACTTCACTCCCCTAATCAAGCCGCGGAGATGGGCAGCCGATGGTTTGTGCCCATCCATAGGGGCTAGTCCTACCTTCAGCCAAAAGGCGCGATGCATGCACAAAAGATGGATCCAGGCTATCTTTCTCTGCCATCAGCTCAGGCAAATATTTCTCCTCTTCCATAGCGCGGATTTCGGACCGTCCCCGGGCGAAGCGCGAGGTTTCGCTCGCTTGGACGCAGGGTCGCTGGGCAGCGCCTAGCTCCCGCGCTGCTCCGCCTCCGCCGCTGCAAAGGGATCTCTGCGCGTCTTCACTGGCCCATGCACCGAGTGCCTGCTATTCCCGCCGTCGGGCTGAGCGGCCCCGCGCCCACACCTACCGGTCCCTTCCGTCGTCCCTCGCTCGCGCTGAGCCTCGGCTCATACCAGCGGCCTTAACTGGGGAGGCGGGAACAGGGCGCGGCCCACCTCCACCAACCACTCATTGGTGGTGGTGCCAGGAGAGGCGGGACGCCCGCAAAGGATTCGGTCTCTCATTGGGCCATACTGCACGTCGAGTTGTCTTACTGGCAGGAGGCCGCTGCAGAGGGGAGGGGAGCTCAGAAGGTGCAAACGCTTTCTTCTTGCAGCCCAGCCTTCTCTGGTTATTAGGCATGCCCAGTTCTGTAGAACCCTCTGTGCTGTCTGCTGAGGTGCCGAGGATGGAGAGAGCGGGAAAAGCACTAGTTAAACAGAGAGGCTCTGGTTTAAAACGGAGGAAATGGGGATAAGTAGTGAGCCTCTGTGGGGGTGGGAAAGCTCCAGGGAAAGTCTCAGAAAGGTAGATGGACTTCACCTGCGTCCCTAAGGCACAGGTGTCTCCTTTCCCTCTTGCAGCTCAGATGCACTCCAGGAATCAACAGCGCACCGGGTCTGGAAATATAATAAAGACCCCAGGTGATCTGTGGCTGAGATTTCAGATGACCTACATCTGGGGGACGCAGTAGGATGTTCATTGATAAACAAATAAAGCGGCTCTGGGGCGATATTGTTGTACAGCAGCATGCTTCCAGGGTAGGATCATTACAATATTGAATTAGTTTCAGTTCCCCCATCCATCCCTTCCTCCTCCTCTTCAGGCCTTTCGGGGGCGGGGACACTGATTTTTAAAACCAGTTAATTACCCATGGTGTGCGAAAGAATTAAGAAGAAATATGAAAGAAAAGTCTAGAAAAATAGATAACAGCGGTTGCTCTAGTTTTCCCTTTTCTCCTTATTTTAGGTGTGCTGGTCTCTTTCGCTGTTTCAGGTACTGTTGCTGAGCCGCTTTATATCTGTGCCATCTCTATTTTAAGGACAGTTAAGCCCACATGGGTTTAACCAACAACTGAGGCAAAGCCCATCCTTCTCTGACCACTGGGGCCCTAAAATGTAATGTGCATACTTCAAATGCTAGGATACTTTCCACGGATAAACAGTCATTTTCCAATTCCCCTTTTGGTGTGGAATTATGGGGCCAACTTTCCTACGAATAAAATATGCTGAAACTTTTCCAAGCTCTCTTACTATATTCAAATCTTTTCCTTATATATTAATTTTTTTAAATGCAGTTGGGACATTATCTCGTATTTGTGTAATGTTTAAAAAGTTTAGCATGCCTCAAATCCATTATCTCAATTTGGCTTCACAAAAGCACTCTGAAAAACATAGGCTAAGTATTACTTTCTCTATTTTTACAGATGAGGAGACAGAGACAAAGAGAATTCAAGTCTCATAACTAATTTATCCTTAGCTTTAGATTGCACTGCTTTAGCCTACCATTAACTATTTATCTGTTGTGTTCATTTGGTAAAATATTTTGGATATTTTGAAATGTAATAGAAACTGAATATAAAATTAAAGAAATATTGATGAACAAGATACACACATTTCATTTCTTGTCATCATAGAGATGTTTTATAATGGAGGAAGATAAATAAAACTATGTAAACAAAAGAAATGTTAATTTTTGGTTGTGATAAAGAGGGGACCCAATCAAGGAAAAGAAAACACAAGACTGATGCTCTACTATGTGTGTGTGTGTGTGTGTGTGTGTGTATATATATATATATATATATATATATATATGGATATATATGTATTATTTAAGACATTTAAGATAAAACCTAACAAGTAAAGAAATTAGCGTGTAAAATGAGCAAAAATAAATAAATAAAAAATAAAAAGACATTCCAAACAAGGGAACTTGCCCTTGCAAAAGTCCTGTGAGTGGAAAGAGCGAGGCCTATTCTTGAAATCCACTAAGGTCAATGTAACCATAGTGATCTGTGAGGGAAAAAAAAAATGGGACAGTTGCGGGTAGGACAAACTACCCAGGATTTGATGGATAGGAAATAATTTTGATCTCATTCTACATATAATGGGGGATCCTAAAGGATCGTTACCTTTCTGTTTGGACTTGCTTCTGAGAAGATTGCCTTCTTGCTCTTACCTTACTTTCAAAGAAGGTGCAATTTAGAATTGAAGATATGTACAGAGAGTGTTATTTTTTTTATTTGATCCTGTGCAGGATGTTTAGTGGTTGAAGGGTTATGCATCCTTCACCTGAGGTGAAAGAGAGACATGAAGGTAAAACAAGCTGCCAATCTTCATAAAGGTGGCCAAAACCTGCCAGAGCAGTAAAGATTGGATAAGTTATCAACCATAGCTAATAAATTGTAGAAGTTTTATAATATAAATTAGAAAAAGTGTTGTACAATAATTGAAACTATATTTTATGTGGCAGCATACCAAGAGATTAAAAGTAAATGTTGCTTATGGGGGCATACACAATCCCAGTTTTACAAATCAAAAAGATATCATAAATTTATTATGTCTAGCAACAACAATTACATTATTATTTATAGTCTTCTTTTCCACAATTAAAGGTGCACTAAGGAGATACCACAGAGAGCTGTCCAATTGCTAACTATTATGAAATGTCCTTAACCTAGATCCTTCCAAATATGGTCAACTACCTACCTTTACATTTCCTAGATATTATCAAAACTAAAGACTTCTTATTTATAGTTTTTACTATAACCCTCTTCAAACACCTAAAGTGCATTTCACCAGAAACAATATACTTATGTAACTTAGAAAATTAATATTATTCTAAACTTTAGGATAACTTGTATACTTAGAACATGATAGATATATATAAGCAACATTGACCATTAGAAATCAATATGCTTCAGAATTGACTCACAAAATACTGCCTTTTTCCAAAGAGAATATAGCCAAATAAAAGCAAAATCCAGTGCTATACACTTACACATCAGTATCAGATCCATGTGTTTTCAATAGATGGCTCTATGTCACTATGTGTTCTCCACTGGTTTTATATATAAATATTTTATGAGGACAACAATTATTCATTAAATATTCTCAGATAAACCTTATGAATGCAACATTTTATAAACATAAATGAAAATAACAAGAACCTTCTATAAATTATTATTTAATATAGTGTAATAGTGCCTGTACATGAATAAATTATAATGGCTGGTAGCTCATGTCCTCTTCTAATGTTGTATATAATCAAAATCACCATCAAATTGATTTATTTACCATAGGTAAAGGTTTCTCTTACTTTAAACAGAACTTCTAGTCCTGAAAGGGCTTTTGTTTTTAATGAGGTTACATTTACTGAGCCATTATTTCAATGATGGAATATTATGAGAAAAAAATAACTTGCCACAACCAAATTTCAGTTCAAAGGATGTGTAAGGCATGATGCCCTAGAGACTATGTTCTGTGATTAATGCAGAAACTGTGTATTCAATACTTTCACATACCCTTGTAAGAAAGGCCAGGATAAAGGGCATTTAATCAGGCTTATCTTTGCACACTAATAAAAAATACACATTCTGCAATATCAAATAAAATACAGAGCTTCTACTTCTTTCAGAGTTTTTATCAACTTTATGGATACCACACTGGCTTGAATACTTACTGCAAGGATTCAATAGAACTCACTCAAAATAAGAACCAGGGATTAGCAAAATTTTTAGAACTCAGTAATTTATGTAATGATAATGAAAACTGATGAACTCCATTTATACACCTAACATTTACTTAACCTACTAATGACTTGATGCCTAACACAGGGTACAATAAAGAACTGAAATGTTCACCAACTCTTATTTACTGAAGAGCCTGACAGAGCCTATTTTTAAGAAGGCATTATTCTAATATTGCAGTTTCTTTTAGTTTCACTAAATACACAAGTGAAATGAGCTCCAGTTTCTCTTATAACATCCATGATATATGAAAGAGCAGAGGGTAACGGAGGTTTGGCTCTATTGATAACCAATACTAGTAAATAGCATGGGCAATGAAAATTCTCTCATTTGAAATGTGCTTAGAACAGAAAGTTATGTTATACACTAATATGCCACAGCACAACATTAATATTTACCACTGACACCTTAAATATGTATACGTGCTGACTGGAAAGCTTTCAAATTTGGGTGTAATATTTAAGCTAATACAAATGTATGATTTAGGAAGAGCAGAAGAGAGAGAAGAATAGACATTTGTTGAGTGTTTGGAACAAGGCTGTTCTGAATACTTAGGACTGGAATAAAGGACACAGAAAAAACAGTTCTCATTCTAAAGTGGCCTGAGAGCCTAAATAATTTGTTTCTAATTTTGAAATTCTGTGTGTTTGGGAAACTGAGATCCCTTCAAGTTGTATCTCCATGGACATTTGCCACACTGACACCTTCTGGCTGGCTTTGATGGCAGCCAAGGAGTGGTACTTCATTTTGGGAGAGGGGAAGGAAGCTGTCATTTCAGGAGAAAGCTATTGACTGTCTTCTTAAAATTAAACCTTTGAATTGTTGAATTGTGGCTCAGGTATTGATTATTTCTGAAGATCAATATATTAAAGTAAGAAATCACATCAGTAAAATGCAATATTTTCATGCACAGCGAACAAAGATCTGATCTCTGTTGTATTTGTACTCAATATAAAATAAAGAAGTGAAGGCTAAGGGATGATTTAATAAAAACTGTCATCCAATATAGTAACACTTGTGCCATGAAGACAAACATATAAGAAATTATTTTACATCATGACCAATATAAGTAAATAAGGTTAGATTAAATTTTAATTTAGATATTATTTTAAAAATCATTCCTAGAAAAAATTACCTAAAATTGAAGTAGTATTTTAGGAAAATGCCATCCCTTTCAAAGCTTTCAATTAGTAATGATACTTGTTTGATAAATTTTTTTGTCATTTTAGTCTCTCATGTTAAGATAATATAATGCACAAAACAATTCTTATGAAATCCTACTGTATAAAATAAACATAAAACAGTACTACACAAAACATCTTTTACAAATCAGGTAATAGACATTAGGAAAGAATGATAATGAAATTAGAAAACATTATTCCA